GCTCAGAAATATACTATTTACCAGGGTTAAAACAAAGATATATATGGATATTCTTATTCTTACATTCATTATGCTACTTATAGGCATTGGAGTCCTTCACTTATGATTTGTTACATTCTAAGCAACAGCATATGGGAAAATCCTAGTACAAGTAAACAGAATGATGATTACATTACAATTCTTAAGAATTTTTTGCTTCTCATGGAACTGCTTCAGAACCACATCTATAATTGCTTTTTCCAACATATAAGTAGTATTTTAATCATATTTTAAAGCGTTTTTATAACGAGACCTCATTTTCTGTCTGTATGAAATGTATTCCTCATTCAGACAAATTACCTAAACAATGTAACAGGAGAAAAAGAACTTCCTGCTAGTTTTATAACTAATTTATAATATTTGTGTTAATGCAAAAAACTAATCAGTGTGTCCATAGYCTCTTGAGTTTCTTTGTTTCAAGGTCGTCAGATCATTCATTGCTGCATTTCTTCCTGATGAAATATACTTACAAAYTGATTTCTCAGAAGGTTTTGTTTAGATACCAGACTATGAATTACAACAGGTATCAGCAGATAATAAAGTTATGGCACCACAAGGAGTAAAATACTGCTTARCTGAACCTCAATGAGTGATTATGCATTTAGTGTTGTGCCATTGTTTAAGTTGTCCATAACTAGCATTTGGATGCTGAGGGAGTTCTTGGTCAGCTGCTTTGCAAGGCTAAGCTGTTTGTAGCAGTCTGAAAGGTGCTGTGTGCACATACATTTAAAAAATATCTAGCCACCTGGTAGCCCAAGTGTGTGCATAGTGTAAAATAATTCCAGACTCAGGCTGCCTTGTCTGAAGAGGATTCAAGCATGTATTATGTTTGTGCAATGGGAGAAAATCATTGAAGTATGTAAGATTTCTGCTGTGGAAAGAAAACACAAGTTTGTTAAAACTTGGCAAAAAGACAACAAAACATTTTATTAATTTTAGCTTTTTTTTTTTCTGCTGCCATTTCCCCCTTCTCAGGGCTTTTCCATCAATTGATAGAGTTTCAGATTATATGTTACCTTGTGGAGAAAATCCAAGACATATGATACAGATATTATTAAAAGTCTTTATATTTTAAAATAAATTCTAATATTTAAAAATATGGTCTAAGATGTGACTGGATGTCAAATCAGTGTGTTCCTTCTGCTCTGTTAGCTGATTTTTCTAGAGACATGAGTGCTGTACTTAAAAGGAAAAGAAAAGCAGGCAGTCTAGTGATCAGAAGTAGCTGCTCAAAAAGGGAGTATCAGYATCACATGCTAGATTGACATCTATKTACATRTGTACACCCACACAATTATTGTTTTGGTGACCAGTCTTTACAGGCAATGAGAAAAGGGAACAGGTCTGGCCAACAACAGGGTTTTAGTTTTTACATGTATGAATTTATGCAAAATGTAATGTGTGACTTATGAAAGGCATACAAAAATGCAGTTATCGACAAGAGATTAATGTTCTGGCCAGTGGCATGACATAATAAAAAAGAGCTACATGGGGTGGAAAGGAAATCCTTATTATTATTATTATTGATTATTAATGATTATTAATGATAATCTTAAAATTAATGATTAATAATAGTCTTAAGATCATTAATGATAATCTTATGATAATAAAAGGATCATTTGATCTCATTGGTTACTTGCATTTGTTGAGTGGYTGTTCAGCTGTTTTAGCTGTTCATAGTTAGAGCTCTTCTTTGCCRTTTTTCACTTTCATGACTTATTGTAAATATTGTTTCAGGGTAAAGTGATCTTAAGGAAAAATTTCGAAGTTGAGAGGAAGAAGACTTCCTTTATATCGTACAGGCAGGGTTTAAACTAAAGTTTATGGGGAGGGAAACCTCAATCTATCCCACTCCTAATATTTTGATGCCAACAAGAAATGCCCAGAATCTCAGAATCCAGGATATTTTGACAAGGAAAAAATTCTTCATAATGAAGGTAGTCAGGCACTGGAACAGATTGTACAAAGAAGCTGAGGATGTCCGATCCCTGGAAGCTTTCAAAGCTGGGAGGGATGAGGAYGAGCAATCTAGTGTAGTAAGGAGTGCCCCTTCCCAAGGGTACTTGGAARTAGACAGTCTTTAAGGTCCCTTCCAACCCTAATCATTCTATGATTCTATGATTCTTCTATTATTAAGAGAGACAGAAAGAAACAAGACATGAAAATGCACCGAGACATGCATTGTTGGCAGCTCCAGTAGGCTCAGGATGGAAGGGCTACACATCTTTGGTCAAGGACAGGGATTGTTGAAAGACTGCAAGGCAATTAGGAAAAAATTCAAAGTTAATATAATGGGAAAGAATAAGACGATGCGGCAGTTCAGAGAGCAGCTTATTTATAGTAGTTTATTGACAGGATGAGAATATTATTTTTAGCAGCATCTTTTGAGTGCTCTTTAGGAGAATTGCATCAGTGTAAGAGTCCAAAAAACAGTACAATGACCAAAGGATTTGTCATCTAAAAGAAAGGTTAATGTTTTTGAACTCTCAAGAAACGTTTTTCGTTCATCATTCAAAGTGTTTTGGTATTTTTGTGCATCACAAGGAAAGTAAATGTGTGAAATGAGGATTTTTGCACAATATATTTTAAAGTTATCTATATAAAGAAATAAAAGGCTATTTAACCTGCCGTCTCTATTTCTTATATTAGAGTGTTGACTGGGAAACCCCAGTAATACTTCTACAAGAAAGAATGTAATGAATTTGACTATAAGAATGAAAATTAGCCATTTTCTTTGCCTTTTTGAAATCTGTTGGCTGGCAATGAAGGCATTCAACWATCTTTCTTACATTCTTTCCACTGCCATTGACAACCAGATCTGCTGGATGAAGTTTCCAAACTGCTTATGAGCAGGTGGTTCACCTGCAGCATGGTACGATAACCTTGACACAGGAGAGATCTTAAAGCAGTTGAATGAATATGCTAAGTCACTCGCCAGTCTTCATCTCTTTAGGACCAGAAAATACATGTGCTGTATGAATTCACAGGAAAATCCCAACTAGTGGAATAAAATTTCTCATCAGAATGAAAAAGATATCCAATAAATGTCTGTTCCTAAACACCTCTAAAATAATATTGTTGTGTCTGTATACTTCCTGGGCTAAGGAAAGTAAATAAAGATATCTTAGTAATTCTGMAAATTCTGGATTTACCCACATTCTCATCAGTATTCTTTGATKAAAGTCGAAGAACCCAGCAACATCTAGAAAATTTTAATTCACAGAATTTACTTTTAGGAGACACTTAACTGTTCCTGTGGAGTTTGTTGCTTTTGCAATTCTCCTGTGATGAGCGGCAGTGGATCTGTTATCTTCTCCTGAGATAACAGGGCTCTGAGAAATCTTGTCTAGTAGGAGATGTCCCCACCCATGGCAGAGGGATTGGAACTAGATGGTCTTTAATGTCCCATTCAACCCAAACCACTCTGACTATGATTCCATAATGTTGTTAATTAACTATATATTAAACACAATGTGTACACTATTTAAAAAAAAACCAAAAAAAACCAAAAAAACCCCCCCTATTTTAAATTATGTCTCCTAAGAAAACAGCAGGGGGAACTACTAGTACAGAACATGAGAAGGAACAGGGACAATTTAGGGTGCATTRGACCCTGCAATTGTTACACTAGACCACTTTGGATGCTATCATCTGTAATTCCAAGCACAGAAATACTGACGAGTAAACTCTACACTGATATGCATTTAACCAAGCCCAGGCATTTAAATTATTTTTTTTCAGCTTCTTTTTCCATCCAAATGCCTTTTGCAGGGCAGAGGTGATTCTTTCAGAGRCCAGAATTTCACAGCAATTAGAGTCCAGCAGACACACTGAAGAATTTGTCCATTCTTGGGACTAATAAAAAAGAGAGAAAAAAAAAAAGGTTTTCCAGTATTTCAACTGCTTCCACACCTTTGTAATTGTAATTAAATCCTGATCTGAAGAAGATGTAGAAGATGGTAGCAATATGCTGGATAGATAAAACCTAACTTGGGAAGTTCAACAAAAAATTAGATAGAAAACTAATTCCATGTATCAAACAAAATACAAATTTGATGGTTMTGTCCAAAACTTGGGAATTACTTTTTTCCTTCTGACAGTGTGCTCAAAGTGTTGTACRTCTTTGTCAAATACTCCACAGGGAATTTGGAAAGGAAATTAGGTACAATATGCTAAGATGTGAACAGTTAAAAATTTCAACTTATCTTTTTCTGAGAAAGTGCATGTGGAAAACCCAATTTATGTTAATAAAAAAAATTAAGCCAAATATTATTTTTTCCTATGAAATTATATGTAGCTAAACGTAATGTATCTGTTTAAATTGGGGGGGGAGGGGGGCAACAGCAAAAAACCCAAAACCAACAGGTCAAAAACATTACAGTGCTTTTGCTTTTAAAGGACATTACCTACTGAAGTAGAAGGGAGAAAAAAATACCAAGTTTGATATCTAGATCTCAGGTGGAAAGCGTTTGTTTTATAATCACCTTTCTTCAGATTTAACACATATTACTCCCAGTGCTACCAGTGTTTAATCCTGTTTATATTTTAGAGATGTTCATTCAAATTGTTATCTGTAGGGGCAGTTATAACTTTTTGCAATATTTTACATGAATGTGTTTTATTACTGAGGAAATAGCGGCATTTTTTGTCTCCTATTTAGACTTCTTTGCCCATATGTTTATTGTTTTAGCTAGAGGCACCTTGTTTAATATTTATATTGTGCTTCAGTTTAATATTTATATTAAGTGTGTCTGGCAACAGATGACAAAGACACAGTAGGAAATCTGCTCTCTAGATACATTTGCAAAGCTCTGCATATAATTTCTCTTCAGCGAGAAAGGATAAAATCATCTGTATACTATTAATCTTGTAAACATATAAGATTAATTTGTTTTGGTCAATTATGGTCAATTATGTAGCTCACAAAACATCTTTTTTGTATTTTTTTTTTTGTATTACAGGTAGCATAGTGTACCTTGGAATGATGGTGGGGGCATTCTTCTGGGGAGGCTTGGCAGACAAGGTGGGAAGGAGACAATCACTCCTGATATGCATGTCTGTCAATGGATTCTTTGCCTTCCTTTCATCGTTTGTCCAGGGCTATGGTTTCTTCCTCTTCTGTCGCTTGTTTTCTGGATTTGGGTAAGCAGCTTTGGTTTTGTTCACTCCAGAACTCCATGTGTTAATAAAATTTTCCTGTTGGCAAAAGCACATTATTTAATGTARAAATACAGTTTGTGTCTGGGGTGAGAGAATTAAGCAAGGCAGCTTACTTAGGTACTACACTCCTAAATAACAACCTGAGGGGGAGAAATAATGATTTTAGGGGAAAGACACAGACTGAAAATTGAGTTTGTTCTTATGTTGCAAAGGATTTGTTTTGTGAACTTGATCAACTTGCTTAATTCTTTTATGCCTCAGCTTCTTTATGTATGTATCTCGTTCAGGCAGCAAAATAACATTCTCCTCACGGGTGTACGCTAAGATTTTAGTAATATTTGTAGTTTTTAATGTCTTTGTGTGTACCCTATCATTTATAGTAACATTGCATCAAGATAGTCAAATTCAAAACAGGGTCTTAGACTGTGCCAAATATTATTTTTGTCTCTGAAAGAATGCTGTTTATGGACCTGCGTTTTCTTTACTTTTCATTTATATAACTTCTCAGTTGTTGGAAAAGTTTAAGATGTTACTAATGGTTGATTAARTTTATAATTTTAAACTTTTATGAGCAGAGATTGAGATATAGAAGTAAATTTCTACAAGAAAGCTTCTACCTTTACTACACCCTTGGATAAACAAGAGCTCTGTTCTGCAGTGGCTTAAGTTTAGCACCTCTGGTCATTGCTTTGTTCAGATGTGGACTTCTGACAGTTCCAATTCAGACCACTATCAGTCTTTAGTATGCTGAACAGACAGGAGCTGGTAAGAGCACAGCAGCTATGTTGTAAAGTCATGTGCATGACTCTATCGCTTGTACGGTTTTTTGGCTTTATGTTACATAGCCATGGTTCAGCAATGCTATTGTGTGATGTTTATGTTTTCAGAAATCCTTTGAACTGGTCTGAAGTTGGCTAGGGCTAGACACTAATACCAGAAAGAAATTACCATAGCACGCAGTAGTTTTAAACTGATTTAGGAAGGGGAATGGTAGGGCAAGAAGAGAGAGAAAAATGCAAGGAGTCCTCTAGCTAGAAGAATCT